TCTACATTCTCCTCTCGCCACCCACCCCTTCCCTCTTAGGAACCCCCTAACTATAGTACCTAAGGGCGACGCGTCAGTGAATGCCTTCCAGCCTCTGGGACCATCCTTTCAGGAGAGTCTCAGTGTAGTTCCAGAACTAGGACAATGGTCTGGCCTCTTCCCAGAACTCTCCACTGCCCAGGCACTCAAAGGAGATGGCCCTCAGCGGAGAGGATTTACAGAGGCTTCCCTGGAGATGTTCTTCTTTCTGGATTTCCAACACAAAGTCAGAGAGGGGAAGCAGAAGAAAGGAAACTCTTTTCTCTCTCTCACCCCTTAAATCTCCAAGGGGCAGGGAAGGACTGGTGAACGCCGGAACCCTGAAGACAGTTTCTCCTTTGCCTGTTCACTGCTGCTGCCCTCCTTCAGCCCCTTGTACCCCGGCAGACAGCCACTGCACTGCACTATTCCAGCTCTCCTCCACTCTTCGCTTTCCTGGAACCAAAACTAGACTACATGATCCCTCTTCTCATGTACTGTTAGGACTCAGGACTGTGTCCACTCAGGCTCCACTCAGCCCCTCAGCATTCCCACCACAGCCTCCGGCTTCTCACCATAGTTCATGCATCTCTGAAGTGCGCCTTCCCTAGTGCCCAGTCAGGAGCCCCTTCTCCCCTGCATTTCCAAGATCCCTTGTTCTTCTAGTTGCGCAAACACTCGGAGAAGAGGGGGAGAAAAGTATGTGTGTGCGTGTGTGTGTGTGTGTGTGTAGTTGGGTAGTGCTGGGGTAAGTACTCTACGAGTGGGCCACACCCTAACCCTGGTCTTATATATTTATATGTCTGTGTCTCACACCAAGTCATGAGCTTTCTAAGGGCTGAGACTATGCCCTGATTTTTCTCTTCTGCACATAAGCTGCTCAATAAATATTTGTTACACTGGGCTGACTATCACCAAATTTCATCTCTAGCAAATGATTATCTTGTTTAATCAGTGATGCTCATACTATCATGAGATGATGACTTCCCTTCTTCCCTCCCTCCCTCCTTCTCTCTCTCTCTCTCTCATTGCTGGGGATGGATCCAGCACACTGAGCCACATCCCTGGTCTTTTATGTTTTTATATTGAGATGAGAGTCTTGCTAAATAAGTGCCCAGGCTGGCCTTGAACCCGTGGCAATCAGCCTCCCAGAGTGTTGGGATCACAGGTGTGTGCCACCACTGTTACAGATATTAGAATACAAGAGAAATAAGGTACTGCAAAATAAAAGACATTTTCCTCAAGAGTTTTTTTTTTCAGGGTTGGGGAACGAGCCCAGGTCCTTGTACATGTTGGACAAGTGCTCTACCACTGAGTTATACCCCCAACCCTAAGAGCTTAAAGTTTTATAAGGGACACAAAAACAGTTATAACATATTATGACACATGTGCTAAGGGAGATATAAGCGGGTACTATGGGGAATGGAAGAGGAATGCTCATCATAAACCCTCCTCCCCAAGACAGGGAGAACAAGGAGTGAGACAGGGTCTCAGTTTACCTTCCTGCCACTGGTCAACTATTTAATCTTTTAGATCCCATTTCTTGTGCTGGATGCTCTGAATAATAAGGACCTTCTATATATATTATAGGAATTTCTGTAAAGAACAAAATAACACCTGTAGAATGTGTAAGAGAAGCTTTGTCTACACTCCAGCAATAAACCCAGGTATAGAGGACAGCAGCACCACTACACCATGCCCTGCTGCTAGTTTCCCTATCCCCACAGTCTTGTTTTCCTCCAAATCTCCCCAGATCACAGTCTCAAAATCACCCTGATACCTTCTCCACACCTACACTGGCCTCACAAGTCCTGCCCACGTACCTCCCTCGTGGCCTTGCTGGCATCCTGGTCTTCCTTCTGTCTTGCAGCCTCATGCTGTCCTTGTCACACCATCTAGCACTTGGGCTGTTGTGACAGAGCCTCCTGCCACCCGTATAGTGGTTCCTTTCTAAAATTCAGACGTCTCTTCTGAAAAGATTGCTTTCTTTGTGTCATTCCTCTGCACAAATGAATTCAGCTTTCCCCTAATAGCTGAAGACCAAAGTCTAAACCTTATAGCTTGACATTTAAAGCTTTTGGTAATTTGACTTTATCGTATTTACCCAAATTTATCCGGTCTCAGCACAATCCTGTAATATTAAGTGAGCTGAGCTTTCTCTTGTCTCCTAAATAAACATGCCTAAGCCCAAACACACATAACTCAATCTCTCATTCACTGTAGCCTTTCCTGGCTAAGCAGGTAGGATGGGAAGCAGCAGACACGGACAGACAAATAGGGTACAATTGCAGTGCACTGGGACAGGTGCCATTTCCTCCCAGGCAATGGCCTCCCACTCCAGTCCATCCTTCAAGACCATGCTCAGGGCATACCCCCTCCAAGAAGCCTTCCCCGGTAATTCATGACCTTCTGAACACCTAAACATTCACTCTTTGGACACCCACAGATCAGTGCTTCTCCAGTTTAAGACACAAATGGCTGGGTCCCACCCCTAGAGAGTCTGACTCCCTGAGTCTAGGGTGCAGGCAGAGTATTTATACATTTTACAGGCTCTGGTGAGAAGGATCTTCGGACCATCACTTTGCCTATCACTGCTACGGATGACCTTGGATGAGTACTTATATTTTGCTTCTACTCTTAGATCTTTATGAGCAGAAAACATGTCTTCTGTCTCTCTGTGGATTAGCCCACGAAGATAGGAAGTGCTCCCCAGATTTCACTTTTACTTGTGCATTGTGCTGGATGGCCTTCTCCAAGGTTGCTGGGGAGAAGATCAAAGTCCCACAGCACAGACCCAGGTCGGGAGGCACAGTGCAATGCACAGAGTGGCTCTACGAGTGCTGCCTGGCAACTTCCAGCCTCATCTCTAGTCTCCAGCAAGGAGGATGGGACGACAGACACTGAGCAGTTACTCTCTGCCAAATGCTGGGCTGGAGGACATACACAGCATCTCAGGGGATCACAGCAGTGCAGCAGCTGGCCCCTTAATCTCACATGTATACAACACAGAAACCCAGACACCAAGTTTTTCTGTCCCATAGCATAGCACAGAAGAGGCACAGGGGCGTACCAGTAAAGAAGAAAGTGAAGTAATATTTTCTGGAGGTCAATTAATGTGGCCAGTGCACTATTCCAGATGCTTCCCCCTCTGCTGTTTTTTTTTTAATCCTTACAATTATCTTGCAAAACAGACTTCATTTTATTCATGTCAAAGATAAGGCAAAAGCCCCAGAGAGGTTATATAATTTGTGCAAGGCCACACAGCTGGGAAACTGGAAAGGTAGAGCCTCAGGTGATCTGTCTGACTGTAAAGCCCTTGTGGGCTGGGCGTGGTGATGCATGCCTGTAATCCCAGCACTCAGGATGCTAAGGCAGGAGGATCACTGCAAATTTGAGGCCAGCCTGGGTTACAAAGTGAGTTCAAGGCCAAGCTGAACTGCATAGAAATCCTGTCTCAAAAAAAAAAAAAAAACATCCCTTGGTTCTGCAGAGCAGCTCTGCCCTGTGACCGGTCACAGGGTGTATACACAGTGTGGACAGCACCTCACTGGCAGAAATGAGAGTAGGTCTCAGGATTCCATATGCCTCCCGCTCCCTGATGATACCTAGCATTTTGTTTGCTCAGGCTCTTAGGGACTGGCCTCTGCACAAAGATCGGACACTACATCTGGGGAAGTTACGGTTCAGAGGAAGGAAGAGGGGTCCCCGGGGGGGAGACCAGGACCTTGGATTCGGGGAAGCAGGCCTGGGTGGCATGGCCCTAGGAAGGCTGATTTCTGTCAGGTATTGGAAGGTGAAGGTCGGTGGTTCTTCCAGACCTAGCGATCTCACTTCAGGGAAATGTGACCGTCCCTCCTCTCACCCCATTACACTACCACCTTTACACACTCTCCATGGCCAGGCTTTCTGGTCATAGGCATGAACGCAGATCTGGGGGCGGCTCACAGAGATGTGCAGGATCAGATTTAAAGTGACACACCAGCATATGCAGAACTACTGCGCCCATGCCCAGACCCGCCCACAGAGGAGGCAGATGTACGCAGAGGTCAGCCAGGCACCCCACAGGAGGGCTGCTCAAACCCACGCTCCCGTGGCCACACGCAGGGTGTAGAGGGCACAGTCTCCTTCAGCCACTTTTTTGGTACCTCGGTGACTGTCAAGAAGGATGGGGACAGTAGGATGTGCTTTCTCCAGCTCTGCCTTGCCCTTCTACCACGGATGGAGACCACCCACTGTTAGAAGGGGTCCGGCTCCTTTCCCATGGCTTGTCCTCTACCCAGGCTCAGTTCCTTTCCTGTCTGCTCAGAGTTTATAGTGGCACGGGGTGGGGGAGGGGCTGGAGTGCAGGAGGCGGATGGAGGGGAAGGCGTGATTGCGAAGAGGAAGGAGGGGTGGAGTGGAGGCAGGACCCCCTCAGGCTCCTGAGTGGCGTGGAGGTCAGGAGCACTGCCACTTCACTGTGTGAGGCAGCCTAGACTGGCGGAGGAAGGTGCTGATCCAACTGATGCCCGGATTCCTGGTCCTCAGGACATGAAGTGGGGACCTCAGCGTCCCTGGAACGCTGGAGGAGGGGGGAGTTGGGTGGCCTGCAGCCAGGGTGATGGAATTTGGGAGACTCAAGCGTGGCTTGCACCCGAGGGGGCTGACACCTGTTTTGGTGTCCCTATGACCTGTCCCTTCCCCACCTCGGGCGCCCGGACTGAAGTGCGTCTCTGGCTCCAGTCCTTACTGAGGAGCGCGCAGCAGGGTGGGAGGGAGGAAGCGCGATCCGCCGAGGGGGACCGGGAAGCTAGTGAAGGGTAAGGAGGCGGGAAAGCGGAGTTTGGGGGCGACTTCGGCAGTGTGGCCCCAGAGGGTTAGTTTGACTGTGTGTCCTTCCTGCTGCCCCGTCTGCCCATCTTAGCAGGGGGCAGCCTGCTGCATTCCCACCCGGCCTCCTCTGCTGTGCGGGAAGGGGGCCAGCGCCCGCCCGACCACCTTACCGTCTGAGGGGGGCTGCCCACGGTCATCTCCACATAGTAGCCCTGGCCCGACTTTCCCCTCAGGTTGTCCACCATCTCCACAAAGCTGCCCCTCCTGCCGGGCTCCTCGTCGGTCTCCCGGGGCAGCCGCAGCCCCAGGGGGGCCCCTGCCAGGCCGCTGCGCAGGGGCAGTCGGATGCCGTGCTGGGTGCCGTGGGCAGGCAGCACTCCCGAGCCCACCCACAGCAGGAGCCAGGGCAGGGCCGGGGCCATGGTGGGCCCGGGCCTTCTGGGCTAGCTCGGGCCCACGTCCGTCCCCGTGGCCTGTCCCCACGTCTGGGTGGCGGTGGCTTCTCTCAGGCGAGGGGGCTTGGCGGCATCAGGAGTCCAGAGCCTGCAGGCCCCTCAGCCAGCCCCGGGGTCCAGACGGTGGAGAGCGGGCAGCAGAAATCCGCAGAGCACGAGAGGAGGGCAGAGGCTGCGATCCGGGACCCAGCTACATCTGGACGGCGGCGGGCAGCCTCAGCAGCGGGCTCGGGCCCTTCTGGGGGCTGGGAGGGGCGGGCATGGCAGGGTGGCGCCGGCTGCAGTCTCGGTTCTCCTGGCGAGGCTGGGGGCGCGGGAACGGGCAGCGGCTCTGGGCTCCTGCGGCTGCGTTGGCTGCTCAGGCCACCATAATCCAGCTCCCAGCTCCCAGCTCCCAGCTCTCAGCTCCCAGCTCCCAGCTCCCAAGCAAGCAGGGGAGGCGGAAAGACCTGTGGTGGCGGCTGTCAAAGCCAAAGGGTTTTCGCTTTTCCTTGGGATCGCTGGGAAGTGTAGTCTTCCCATGGCAGGCAGCCCTGCTTCCGGAGCTGGAGAGGGGTCTAGGATGCCCTCTACCGAGGTGGAGTCCACCCTGCAGGATCCTGGTGGGGACAGAATTCCCCCTTGGAGTAGGTGAGGAGTGACCACTCACCTCTCATCTGTCAGACCTTCTTTCAGCATTGATGGCATGCCCGCTGTCAGCCACTCTGCCAGGCGCTGGCGCTGCAGAGAGAAGTAAAGTGGACACACACCCAAAGTGAGTCCCTGCAGGAGAATTAGGTGATTCTTGCCTCAGTGGGGTTACATGCAAATGATGTAGCATTAGGAGGAGGGATTTGGGGGACATCTCGGGGACGTGGGAAGACTCCCGGTGGTATTTAATTTGAGCTTTAAAATGGGTAATATTTCCAAGAGCAGAGACTAGCGGGGCAAGATTAAAGGGATGGACAGCTACTCTAGGCAGAAGACTACACATGCGGGTCTAACAGGGACATGTGCAGTCTTCACCAGGGTTGGCTCCCTGCGGGAGCTAAAAGCCATCCTGGTCTTCTCTGTCTGAATCTGAGCCTTTGAGGCTCTCTTGCCACCGATCCTCAGGACCCCTGATTCCTGCACTGTCAAACTGAGGGTAAACGCCTCCTGAGAGCTTTGAAGTGTTACTGTTCCAAGAAGCATCGGCATCTGAATTGACAAGAGATTGAAACAAAGAGCTGTAGATGTTTAATTGCTTAATAGAGAAAAGTTGCGTGATTATGTTATCATGTTATTTATCAAACATGGAAAGCCCTTGATAAAATTTAGTAATCATCCTGATAAAAAAAAATTAAGGGGAGCAGAGAGGGCATGGGGATGCATGCCTGTAATCTCAGCTACCCCAGAGGCTGAGGAAGGAGGATTGCAAATTCTAGGCCAGCCTAGAATTTAGCAAGACCCTCTCTCAAAATAAAAGATAAAAAGGACTGAGGATATAGCTTAGTGGTAAGAGTTCCCTTAGGTTCAATCCCTAGTACCACAAACAAAACAAAATAAATACAACCAAGTAAGGGAAAATTTCTTGAATAAGATAACCAAGGACTTGGGGTGGAACTGGATGGTAGAGCCAGTGCTCAACATGTATAAGGCCCTGGGTTCAAACCCCAGCACCAAGGGGGAGAGAGAGGGGAGAGAGAAGGATAGAGAGAGGAAGGAGAGAGAGAGAGAGAGAGAGAGCGAGAGAGAGAGAGAGAGAGAGAGAGAGAGAGAAAGAAAGAAAGAGGGAGGAAGAGAGAAGAGAGAGGTGAGAGGAGAGAGAGGGAGAGGAAGAGAGAAGGAGACCGAAAAAATAAAAATCAATAGATCCATGTATATATTGGAATTGTGTATAGATAACAGATGTCATTCAATACAGATGACATTCAATATACAAAAAACTTCCACAAATCAAAGAAAAGCCTCAATGAGATAAAAAAAGTAAACAATATAAACAGGTAATTCATAGAAGAAATTCAAACAGCCAATAAACACAAAAAAGTTTGATTTTATTTCTAGTGGAAAGATATAAATTAAAATGGTATTTTAAGTACCACTTTCTTCCCTCTCTTTCCCTTCCTTCTTTCCACTCCTCCCTCTCAGATTGGTCATGTGTTGCCGTTGGTGAAGGTATTGATTGGACTGCACATTATTCTATCTTTTGGAGAGTAATTTGGCAATGCCTATTAAAATATAAAAATGCAAACTCTTTGAGCATTGTCACCTCTAGGGCCCTATTACATAAAATAATAAAATTTCAGCAGTGTGTACAATATCAAAGTTGGGGGGGGCAGAGATGTAGCTCAGGGGCACAGCACCTGCCTGGCAAGCACAATGTCCTGAGTTCAATTTCCAATACCAAAATTTTTTTTTGGAAATAGCTGGGCATGGTGGTTCATGCCTATGGTCCAGGTTTTGGAAGGCTGAAGCAGGAAGATCATGATTTTCAAGCCAGCCTGGCTGCATGTCTAGTTCCAGGCCAGTAAGTACTATATAGCAAGACCTTGTCTCAAAAACAAATAAACAAGCAAAGAAGCAAACCAAGAAACCAAGTAAATGGTCACAAATAGGAGACCAAGACATTTGACATTTATTCAATGACATCCTAAATAACTGTTAAAAAGCAATGGCATAGCTTCTTATGAAATGACTTTGGAAGATGTTTATAGCATGTTAAGTGGAGAAAGGACATTATGATCTCATTTCTGTAGAAATTTTAAAGTATGTATTTGTGCTTAGATGTGTATACAGTACTTACAAATTTTTAGCTGCATGAACATCAAAAAATCCCAAAGACAGACATCAACATGCCAACAATTGTTTCCTCTGAAATGGAGGGATTCATTTCTTCTTTTCTTTGCTGAAGTTATCCACCCAGTGACTATACATTGAGGGCCTCTGCATAGTAGGCACTATTTGAGGCACTGAGGATACATCAATAAATAAAACAGACATAATCTCTGTCCTTATGGAGCTTACATTCTAATGCAGAGTGACAGACAATAAATAAACAAACAAAGTTTTTCAGATGTGAGTGTACTGTAGGGAAAAACAAGTCAGAGAAGGGAGCTGGAAGAGCAATTTGTAATTTTTAAATAAGATGGATTGAAAGTACAGAGGAAACATTTTGCAACTTTATATACTTTTTAAAAAGTCGCAGGATTAACCAGTGTTTTCCTTTTTTTCATGTGGGTGCTTTTTTATATATACCGAAACGGTATGAAATGAGAAGAAGAATTCTAGTAGTGGAATTTCTGATCTAGAGTTAGAGGAAAATTTGACTCCCTCATTGTCTTAGGTATTTTTCTCGTCTTTGAGACAAAATGCCCCACATCCAAAATTAAAGGAGGAAAGATTTAGTTAGCTCACAGATTGTAGAGGATTTAGTCCATAATTACCTGGCTTCAAGGTAGGATAGCATGGCAGAGGGGCAACCATTCATGGCAACAGAAGATACCAAGAGCAACAGGAGAGAAAGAGAAAAGAGAGACAAACCTCTCTTTGTCCCTTATAATGTAGGCAGGGTACCCACCTTAGGGTACATGTAGCACTCACACCCTTACTCCTATCATTGGACCTTGAATCATTCAGGAACTCTAGATTCACCCACCTCTAAAAAAGCCTAGGACTACATGAGGCTTTGGGGAGACATCTAGACACAAACCATAACATTCTGCCCCTCACCCCACAAAGGCTTATGTACATTCCTTTATGCAAAAGACATTTAATCCATCTCTAAGAATTGCTAGAGTCCTAACAGTTTCAGCATTGCGGAAAAGTCCAAGTCCCAACTCTCCTCTGAGATGTAAGGCAAACTCTTAGCTGTGAGCCCCTGTACAAATGAAAAGAAAGTTAAACACTTTCAACATTCAATGGCACAAGATAGATATTTCCATTCCAAAAGTTACATACAGGGGATACAATGGACTGGAACCAAAGCAAATCCAAAACCCAGTAGGCCAAACATTAAGTCCTTTTGTTCCATGTGCAGCATCCAAAGCAATCTGTAGCAAGATACGAACTCCAAAGGGCTTGGGTACCTCCACCCTTACAGCACTTCTGGTGGGTGTAGCTCCCATGGTTTCTCTATGGAGCTGGCTCTGCTCCCTCCTTGAAGTTTTCCTCAGATGATCCACGTTCCTGGCTTCCCCAAACTTCTGGGGTCTCCACTGCACCTTTGGCTTCACACTAACAACTTTCTACACTGCCCTCTCAGGAACACACTGTGTGGCCTCCCAGGACTTCTGAAATCTGAGGAAGCCTTCCTGAATCCGTAACTCTTACATTCTGCATGCACCTAAAAACAAGCACCATTTCGATGGTACTAAGGTCTGCTAGCAGCAGCAGTACCCAGGTTTCTTTCTCTCTCTTGGCTGTAGGGGTTGAGTGCCTGGATTGCTGAGCACTCTGAATCCAGTTCTGAGGAACAAATTCTTTATGTTGCCACCTGGGGCCTTCTTCTCAAAGCAGTCTTTCACTTTTACAATTTTGGGGCTGCAAATAGTGGAGTCCTACTGCTTCCTGTGATGCCCTCAGCTCATCTTTTCTATTCTCCTGTTCCTTCTTAGCAATCAAGGTCTCTCTGCTCTATCTTTGCAGTCTATAGCTTTACTGAAGCTTTCTTTCTGGCCAAACTCACAATGTTTTAAATCATTCTGTTTGGCTCTTTGCTCTTGATTCTCAACATAAATCTGGCTAAAAGCCCCCAACAGCAGCCATGCTACTGCTTCAACATTAGACTGCCTTGAAATTTCTTTTGCCAGATTAATTAGTCTACCACTCTTACTCTCAGTCTCAGGTAAAGTCTCTGGACATGAGCAAAATGCAGACAAACTTTCTGCCAAGCCATAACACATATCATCTGGAGTTCAACAACCAATGCAGTCCTTCTCGGCAGAAACCTCCTGAGCCTGGTCTTTAATGGCAGGATTTCTATGAGCCTTCTGGTCTTCTGAGCTCTGACTAGAATCTCCCACATAGAACAGCCTAAGGCATTCCAGCTCTCCTTTTTCAGCCAGCATCTTGGAACCTTTCCAAACTCTTTCCACAAGCCATTCCCAAAGGCTCCTGAACTGCATGGTCACATATAGTCACAGCAATAACCCCACTTCTCTGGTACCAAGTTCTGTCTTAGTTACTTTTCTCTCATTGCTGAGACAAAATACCTAACACCCAAAGTTAACGAAGGAAAGATTTATTTAGCTCACAGTTTATAGAGGTTTCAGTCTGTAACTAGCTGGCTTCCAGGCAGGGGTGTCATGTGGAAGAGGGGCAAAAGTTCACAAAAATGAAAGACACCAAAAGCAACAAGAGCAAAAGGAAGATACAAGCCTCTTTCTATCCCTTTTGTTTTATCCAGACTTCTGGTGCTAGCACAGTGCCAATCCAATCAGTGGACTGATCCAGCAGTCCCAGTACCATTAATCTCAGTATTGCACTATGAATTAATCACAAACTCTAGATTCAGCTGCCTCTGAAAAAGC